GAGGGGGAGGTGGAGGAGGAGGAGGAGGAGCAGGAGGAGGGGGAGGAGGAGGGGGAGGAGGAGGAGGAGGAGGAGGAGAGGAGGAGAAGGAGGAGCGATGAGGAGGAGCGAGGAGGAGGAGGAGGAGGAGGAGGAGGAGGAGGAGGAGGAGGAGAAGAGGAGGAGGGAGGAGGAGGAGGAGGAGGAGGAGGGAGGAGGGGAGGAGGGGGAGGAGGGGGGAGGAGGGGGGAGGAGGGGGAGGAGGAGGAGTAGGAGGAGGAGGAGGAGGAGGAGGAGGAGGAGGAGGAGGAGGAGATGAGGAGGAGGAGGGAGGAGGAGGAGGAGGAGGAGGAGGAGGAGGAGGAGGAGGAGGAGGAGGAGGAGGGAGGAGGAGGAGGAGGAGGAGGAGGAGGAGGAGGAGGAGGAGGGGGAGGAGGAGGAGGAGGAGGACCCCACGCCACTGAGAGGCGCGTCTTTGCCTATGCCGCGCCGCTGCCGCGCGCGCCCGCCTCGAACTCGCCGCTCAGAGACTCGGCGGGGGAGGCGATGTTGCCGTAGAACACGGTGCTGGCGTTCAGGTCGTGAGCTTCGAAGGAGTCCTCGCCATCGTCTTCGACCTCGCTGAGCCCAGTTAGCGCGCCAGTCGTCTCAGCACCTTCACGCAGTCCCACATCAGGCCCAACCGCTCCAGGAGACGGACACCCATCAAGAGGCACCTCTCCGTCTCCGCGACGAAGCGCACCTCCACGCGAGCCGTTTGGAGAAGTCATCCCGAACCCATGCGAGACCATAAACTTGTCAAACTCGCCGTCGGTCTCGCACAAGATGCCGCCTTCTCCTTCTCGCTCAGTAGGGAGCGGCACTGCAGGGCTCGAGCCGCGGGAAGAAGCATCAGCCACTCCCGCCGAAGACGTCGCCGTGGGGTCGCGCCCGTCTGACTGCTGTGCCTCCCTGGACCGCCGCAGCGCAGCTAGAACTTGTCTATCGAACTCCTCGTGCGACAAGAAGGGGCCGAAAAGTTGGGCATGTTCGTCAAGAGACATGGAGTCATTCCGATGCGGCTCAGCAGCGCCATGGTCCGCAGCCTCGGCACAAATTGATTCGTGAACAGCATCTTGCCTCATCTCAATATCCAAATCGGTCGGGTTGAGATACCCATCACCACCAAATCAACCACCGTTCTCACCTGGAAAAGGTTCACCGTGGGCGAGCACGCCCACATCCGATCCCGTAGGCACGTGATGTTGAGGGTGTGGGAGAAGCAGGAGCGCAAGCGACAGCCCCCCAGCGAATATCCTTTGAATCAGCAGGTAAATACCTCTTTCTTCCGTTGTCATGCGAGTGCCAATTAATTTCCGTCTCCACGACGACGAAGCTGGATCAACCTTCGGTCGCCACGAACGCCCCATGGATCTTTCAACTGAGTGCGAAGGAGATCTCGCGGACAAGCACCAGAGCACCACCCGTTCATGCAGACCTCTATAGCCACATCCCACCTCTTGGCGCTGCTGGAGATAGACCACGCCTCGCAACGCAACAAATCGTGAAATCCAGAGTAGCGGAGCAAATCAGCCACATGCGGTACGCACCATTCCATCCACTGTTGGTAGTCACCCCCCGTTGAATCGATCAGCAAGGTGGGGGGCCACGCCTGGGGCCACACTCCCACTCCGTCCACCAGTGCGCAGTACAACTCATGCCCATGAAAGCGCCCATCTGGAGGACGTTGCGGGCACGCTCGGTCTAAAGCGTTCTCGCTCTCGGACCAGCGAGCGACCATGTGTTGTGGTAAGAAGCTCGTTGCCTCATGCGACCAGTGCCTGTGCGTGTCATGCTCCTCTCTGCGGTGGACGATGGCAATCTGGCGAGCAACTTCAGCGCGCGGCCAAGGCCCACGCAGATTCATCTCCAGCCTGTGACGCGACCCCGTCGCATTGCGCCAGCAAGCGTGCGCAACGATAGAGCCCAATTCCCATCTGGCTTGGGATTGAGCGAAAGGTTCAGGAAAGAGCCCAAGAAGGCACCGATAGCGAAGCACCTCAGCCAGCTTGTCAGGACACCAAACCATCCGATCATCAAAATCAGGCTGTACCGACCCAGGTAGAAAGATTGACGGAAACGATTCTTTGCCCATGAGGCAACACGTAGAAGGAGCCCATCCAGAAGTGCTGTTAGCCTACGCCCTGCACCCAGCACCGGCGGCATCTCAAAGCGCTGCTCACCCAAAGCCCAGGGGAAGCGCAAGCGATGAGGTAGCAGATCATGCAGCGCATGAGGCCCACAAGGGATACCACTCAGCAGCTCATCCAAGGGGAAAACCCACGATGGTGGCGATGCTGTCGAGTAATCCGTCGGTGGAGGCGACGGTGCAATCCAGGTCACGGCCGAAGAACGCGACGACGACGTCCACCCAGCTGCGGGTCGCGCCAGGGCGCGCACACGAAGCGCACCCCTAGCTGCAGAAAGGAGCGCATCAGGTGGGACATAACCTTCGCGCCGCACATCATGACAAATCATCGTAACCAACTGCATGTTGATAATCCCACCAGCCCTTTGGGCGTGAGTGGTTTAGAGAGCCCGCTCTGTTCTCAACCCCCTTCTTCCCCTTCGGGGATGGGTTTGCCCCTCCCCCTACCCCCTCCCCCTGGGCCTGGAGAGGTCCTTCCGCGGGTCGTTGGAGGGGTCCTTGTCGACTCCTGGGAGGGCTAAAATTCGACACCCCTCACGAGGATTGTGGCCCCGACGGGGGGGGGGCAGAAAAGTGCTCGCCCCAGCTGTGATCGATCGCCCGAAAGATGGCCCCAAGATACCTCCCAGACCCCTCCCAAAGAGCCCCAAGAGGCCCCAAGAGGCCTCCAAGAGGCCCCCAAGATGCCCCCAAGAGGCCCCCAAGAGGCCCCAAGAGGCTCCCCCGAGGCACCCAAGACGCTCCTGGAAGCCCCTGGGGCCGCCAAGAGGCCCCCAAGACGCCCCAAACGGCCTCCAAGAGGCTCCCAAGAGGCTCCCCCAAGGCACCCAATACGCTCCTAGAAGCCCCTGGGGACGCCAAGAGGCCCCCAAGACGCCCCAAAAGGCCTTCAAGAGGCTCCCAAAAGACATCTACCCAACGACTCCCACCAGTCGTCGTCGTCGCCGTCGTCGTCGTCGTCGTCGTCGTCGCCGCCGCCTTCGTCGTCGTCGTCGTCGACGTCGTCGTCGTCGTCGTCGCGGTTGTGGTCGTCGTCGTCGTTGCGGTCGATATCGTCGTCGTCGTCGGGTGCGTCGTCGTTGTTAGGATCATCGCTGTGGTCGTCGTCTCCGCTGAATCCCTCTTGCCTCCCGCCGCTTTCCCCCCCTCCTCCTCCGCCTCGTCCTTCTCCCGCCCCCACCACAAGGAGGATGCGCAAGGAGGCGGGAGGCGGGAAGAAGGAGGAACAGGGGAGATATGCGGGGGCAAGCGGACACACGCCTGAAAAAAAAACACGACTGTCGGCATGCTTCGCAAGAGTTGCTGTTTTGAGATGGGCTGGCGGGGATACGCGAAGCGTAAGTAATATTCTCGTATGATGCAGATGCGAGACCCCATCTCGTGAGAACATCTTCAGGAAGATAGAGGCGACCACCAGATTTTGCCATGGCGGATCCCCGCGCTAACCCTCGGCATTGAAGGTAATGACAGATCTCGTCCTTGCATCCATCGCAGCCAAAAATGCACCTGCGCTGTCCAACCACAGTCGTGAGCCTCGAAGACGTGAGCCACCCGCAAAGGATGCCACGCAAGATAGTCGAGGCCAACGCCATCGGGTAGCTTCGCAGTTTTTTGCAAAGAGCAGACCAGTTTAGCGCCGCCAGCGCCGATGACTGCTCTGGAAACCACTTTTTTCCCAGCGACGAGCAATAGTAGAGACCAGCGGCAACGACTCCGTACCCTCAGGTCTGAAAGGTGAGAAGACAGCTGCCATCGATGCTACGTAAGCAACACGCTGGATGCCTTTAGTTGCCTGTGGATGCTCTGCGAAGCGCAGCCGGGCTGCTGATGCCGAACGAGACGCAGAGGCACACGTAGCCACAATGCTCTCCACCACGGAAGTCGTGGCCCAGAACGAAGGTGAGCAGACGACGATGAGTACACCGCCGTTCCGAAGCAGCTCGAAATTGGGGCCAAATAGCGACGGTGCTCAGGATGAGTGGAAAGGCCTGACCCGACAAGAGCCGCATCCGCCATGGCCGCAACGGAATGTAACTTCGGTCGCCCCATTCCGCCAGCGCGAAGAAGTCCACATATCGTTGAGCACCTCCTGGGAAGCGCAAGAGCCTGGCCAGCAAGTGGGTGCCGAACTGTCGAATGACTGCAGGCATTGTGAAGAACTGGGCGACGTAGCTCAGCGTCGGAACTGCACGTAATATATACTTGAGCGCACTCAACGACAGAAGGGCCGACGACGCAGCTAACGCGCCAACGCGGAGCTTGCATTTCGCCCGCGGAGCCTACCAGGACTGCATCGCCCTAGCTGCAGGTCCAAGCCAGACGCCAAGGTACACTAACATACCCTCCACCTTGAAAGACGCCCAGCTGGGAACCTGCGTCTTTAAGAAATCAGTCGCGATGGACCCCAGCTGCTCGGAGAAGGAATCGGCGAGTGGTGCCAGTACGCACTTGGGCGGTTTTAATTTCAGATTGGCCAACTCCCCCGCCGCCGCCATCGTCCGCGCCAGAAACTTAAGGCCGACCATGTTAAACATAATGCCGCCAATGTCATCCGCGCATGCACGGGAGGTTCCACGATCGACCGCTTTCCAGCCACGCCGTAAGTCTTCCAAGAACGGCGACATTGATGCAGCAAAAAGACTGCCCGGGAGTGCACAGCCTTGGGTGATGCCACAGAAGATGCGAAAGAGTGGGGGCGTGATCCGATCAGCTCTCCCAATTGCCGTCGCCACCGAGTAAAGACCACGAAGCGCAGCCATAAGACCCTGAGGGAGCTGCAGGGCCTCCAACACTGCAAATAGGAACTCTTGGCTGAGCGACGCAAAAGCATGACCGGAGTCCAGCGCGACCAACATTGGGTTACGTTGATGCGCTTCAGGAAGTAATGACCCCACGCGAGCCAGCGTATCAAGCCCCAAGCTGTTGATGTAAATTGGCGGCCAGCGATGAAGCCACTCTGCGCAGACGAGGTGGTCATCTGAATGATCGGGGCTATCGCCATGTTGAAAGTGGCCGAGATAATCTTCATGTCTGTGTCGCGCAGGCCCAATGCTCGCGCTGTGTCTGGCGCACGAATCACACCTTTGCAGTCGTCGTCTCCCACTTTGCAGCCCTTCGGGAGGAACGCCTGCAACGCGCCCCCAGATGAAGCAAAGAGATGCCGCCCACTCATGGGCCACAGAAAGGCCCGCCACAGCACATCACCACCTGCAAGATGCGCGGCCCACGCCAAATAAGGGAGCCCGTCAAATCCAGGCGCCGAATGCGAAGGCGAGAGGCGAAGCAGAACAATACCGAGCGACTTCCTGGACGGAGGCACGCAAGCGTCATCATTACCAGACCGCGCGATCTTCTTGGCATTGAGCTGAGTTGCCTTGGGATAGTACGCTGGCTTCGCCGAGACGGGAGCCCAAGAATGAACGAGAGCTTGAAGCTTCTGTAACGGTTCCGTGATTAGTTATAGTTCACCGCCAACTTTGATAGCTCTTAGAGTAAGCCTCTTGCCGAAGGCCACCCAGAGCCGAACTTTGCGCGTCTTCGCAGAGATAACTCCCACCGAAGGCCTGGCTCCCCCATGGCCATGCAGAGCCGCATGCTGTAAGTCTTCCAACTCTTTTCGGCAACAGCATGCTGTGCCGAGTCAAACCATGCTTGAAATACCGCCGGCTGTGATAGCTTGACTTGATCGCCATCAATAGCAACGCAACTTCGGGCCGTCTGAAATGAATTGCACACCTCAATGGCCATCTTCACGTCTCGTCGCCAAATCGCCCTCGCCAGCTGCCTGGCGAACGCGCGCTGCGACTCCAGCGAGTTGGGCTCATCCACCAGCAGCTGGTTAAAAGGGGTCGAGCGCCGCTGCGTCGACCGGTTAGTTCTATGTGCCGTTCCAGCCGTCGAGGAGGAGCAAGCGCCTCGAAAGTCTCAGCCTCATGATCGAGCAACCGCCCAAGCCGATCATGTTATGTATGGATATATGTGTATATACACATATATATATATATAAGCCGCCGGGTGAATAGTCTTGACGTGCTTCCGATTGTGTTGCTTAAACTTCACAGCGGCACGTGCCGCTCGGTAGCGCTCAGGTAGCTCAGGTAGCTCGGCACTTATTGCATGATCTGAAACATTGCGCTCAGGTAGCTCATCAGGTGTAGATATGACTGCGACAGCGTGCTGAACTTGACATGCGAGCCACCCTGGTTCTGAAATCCAAACCGATCTGGGCCACGGCGTTCGTGCCCTTACAGAAATGAGTGGGTTCCTCCGAGGCGATCTCGACGATTTGGGAAAGAGAAGCCGACCATTTCTGCACATGTGTCCTCGCATTGTTGGCAACCCGCACATCGCGAGCCATCGACGGACTAGAAATCTGAGGCGGGCCGCGGGAGGAAGAACTTGAAGTCGCCGCAAACCGCCAGGATGCGCGAACCAGGAGGCAGAGAGGCCCATGCTCTGTCATCGTCGATCAAAGCAGCGACGCTCGATACCTTCGCACCCGAGCGCCCATGATTGCGTGCATTGTAGTGCCGAATCTCGACATCACCATTCTGAATGACCGCGCGCAGTGCCCGCCCAGGAACAAGTGACCGAGGCGTCGCTATTGCACCTGCAGAAAGCGCCAGCGGGATGACTGTAGCCACCCCGCCGCGCGCATGATCAGCACGTCCTTCTTCGAAAGGTCCTGCCACAATAAAAGAGACGGGGCGATGCGTCTCGTGAAGAACTTGAGCTCGTCCAACGTCTGGTGCACCTCTTGAATAGCAATGATAGAATGCGTAATGCCAGCTTTCTGCAAGTACGTTGTCTTCTCCATTGCTTGAGCCCCCCGCCAGCTGAGGAGAGCCCTCGCATTCCAGGTAGTGAGGACGAGCTGCGCCGACACTGGTGCTCTGCCTCCCTCAACGGTCTTGGTGAACAGCCTGCCGAATTTGCTAAATACACCATTCGGGTTCAGCATTTGGAACGATGATCGGGTCGATGATGGCTTTGATCGCTTCGCGAGTCCAACCGCGGGAGGCCAGGGCCGCATCGTTCCAGTAACATTTAGTTGGCTCTTGACCAGGCTGTGGCTCCAAACGCAAAAACGGATTCCAATTCAAAGAGACCCATCCATTCTGCTGGTCGAAGAATAGTTAGGCGTGTGGATATCGTCCGCGAAAGAGCGCCGTGATCTTTTTTGCCAGCAATCTCACGCTTAGTCTGGAAGGGGTTCTCCCTTCCCAGGCAAACGCAGAGCCTCGAACGCTTGGTCGACACGACGTCCAGCAACACCCGCTGGTCTCGAGAATTGCAAGGTGAAAAGCCGATCTTGCTCTTCGCCTTGGACTTCCCATCCTGCAATCTTTGCTTTGTCCAACCACGCCTTGACAGAGGAGACCACGTCCGCGCGCTTGACCATCGTGGAAGCGACAATATTGAGAATGGTGCCGTCAACTTCTCGCTGGAAGCCGATGCTTGGCGGCGTTGGTGGTGGCGGCGTGCGGTGTGCCAGAGCCAGCTCCCGACGCAGTTCCTCCATGGATGAGCGCACACTGGAGATCTCATCTGCCATCTTGCCGGTGCGGGAATCGAGGGCAGAGACCCGTGTGTTGAGGCCGTCCGGCTCTGCTGGAAACCGCCGCTCCAGTGAGTCGAGTTCTGGCCGAAGAGTAGCTTCCACTCTCTGCTGGCAGGTGGCTGGTACACTTGTCACTGCCTCTTCCAACGTACGAATCGCAGCCATGACGGGATCGACGGCTTGCGCGGTTGCTGTGCTCGCTGTCGTGGCGACCCTTCCAGTGATCTCTTCCTTGAAGGCGCTGATGGTCTGCCGCAGGTGTCCATCGATGAAGCCCCTCATGTGGTCGTCCCAGCCTGCAGGGTCCATGCCTGGATCGTCCTCTTCGTCAGAGCGTCGCCGACTGGATCTCGAGCGATCGTCATCCCGCGCATCATGACCTTCACCGTCACCATCAACTTCCCGACCAGCAGGAACACGAGAGCCATCCGCACCGAACTTTTTCTTCTTCCTCGTCCCTCCACCGTTGGCCGACGTGACGGGCATTATATGAATATGCTGCAGAGCGCGAGAAGAATGGAGGGGTGCCAGCTCACCCGTGGTTGTGGCTGGAAAATTGATCGAACTGGCCGCGGACTAGCGGTATCCATTCCCCGCTTGCGCAAGGCGGCCATATTGAGCCAAAACGGCTACGGAGGAGGAAGAGGAGGAGGGAGGAGGATGGAGGAGGAGGAGGAGGAGAAGGAGGAGGAGGGGGAGGAGGAGGAGGAGGAAGAGGAGGAGGAGGAGGAAGAAGAGGAGGAGGAGGAAGAGGAGGAGGAGGAGGAAACGGAGGAGGAAGAGGAGGAGGGAGGAGGATGGAGGAGGAGGAGGAGGAGAAGGAGGAGGAGGGGGAGGAGGAGGAGGAGGAAGAGGAGGAGGAGGAGGAAGAAGAGGAGGAGGAGGAAGAGGAGGAGGAGGAGGAAAAGGAGGAGGAGAAAGAGGAGGGGGAGGGGGAGGGGAGGGGGGGTTAGAGAGGGGTGACGGCTTCTCAGAAGGAGGCTGATTCTCAGGAGGCGCTGGCCCTCCAAGGCCGGCGCCGTCTCAGAAGCAGGGGTGCTTCCCCCTCCCCCCACCTCTCCCTGCGCGTGGCTGATCATGAAAGGGCCCCAGGACACACAAATAAATATACACAAGTCAAAATATTCCCCATATGTTCACATATTTTCTTGGTTTTTGTCTTCCCCCCCACTTCCCATATTTTCCCATATGTTCGTGGGAATCGACGATTAATTGTGTCTGTGCGTTTTTTCCCCTCCTGAGATCAGGACCCGCTTCCCTTCGCGGCGAAAACTGGAGGGAAAAACATGGAGACCATGACCCAGACGGAATGTGTAAGCGATCCTGCGAACTCCTGCAGGATCCTGCCGCAGACATGACCGCGTCGTGAAAAAAGTCAGGACGGGAAGTTCTTGGCCAATTTCGGCATCGCGGGGCGCTCGCCGGGCCTCGGGACCGTCAACAGAACAAGGCAGGATGAAAAACCGGTCCCAGGGAAAGGGTCGGGACTTCCAGGGACCCCGTACTGAAACAAATCAGGACGTCGCATGTCTGGAGCAGTGATCCTACACGCAAGCCCGGATCACTGCCGCCCCTGGCCCTGCACGATCCTGCAGGATCCAGCGCTCAGACTGACCCCCGTTTGCATTGACCCTGGGCTCTTGGGCCCCGACATCGGCGACGCTTCGCGACGCCAGCGATGCATCGGCGGCGTCGGCGTGGAGAACATCGGGCTCCACATCGAGCCGCACCGCCGATGCATCGACGATGCGGACGATGCATCTTCGGCTGATCCCCCGCTTGCACTGACCCCCGCCTCTGGAGCCCGTGCCCCTCCCCCCCATGCGCCGAGTGCCGGCAGCCCCGGACTCGGCGGGCCCCCCAGACCCCCGACGTAGCGATTTTTTCACAGCGTCGACCCCCAGAGGTCTGGACCCCTTCCCCGGGACCAGTTTCTCATCCTGAGTCGTTTCCTGACGGTCCCGAGGCCCGGTAAGGGCCCCGGGAGGCCGAAAATAGCAAAAAACCTCCCGTCGTGATTTTTTTCACAACGCGGGAGGGTCTGGGCCTCCGGGGGGCCCGAACAGAGCCCGAGCCCTCCGGGTAGCCCCGAGCCCCGGGGAGCCGTTGGTCGTCCCCAAACGTGGTGGTGACAACACCTGGCGGTGAGTCTCGGGCGATTTGGTGTCACCACCCGGTTTGGGGACTCGTGCGGTTTTCCGAGGATGTCCCGAACACTGGTGGGCCCAGGAGTCACAAAACCCGGTGGTGACCCCGCGTCCCCAAACCCAGCGGTGACCTTTTTGGGGGATTCCAGGTCGCCACCTGGTATCTCACCACCTGGTTCCCAGACCCCCGACGTCATGATTTTTTCATGACGTCGACCCCCAGCGGTCTGGACCCATTCCCCAGGACCGGTTTTTCGTCCTGGGTCGTTTTTTGGCGCTCCCGAGGGCCGGTGAGGGCCCCCAGAGGCCGAAAATCATGAAAAACCTCCCGTCGTGATTTTTTCACGACGCGAGGAGGTCTGGGCACCTGGTTTGGGGGTTCCCAGAGCCCCGGGCCCTCTAGGGAGCCCAGGCCCTCCG